TTCCTATTTTTTTTTTTTTTTGAAAAGAAGATGAATTATATATTCTTTCAACAGAGCAAATGAAGGACACAAGAAGGGATTCCTCCAACATATTGGAATCTGACTGGGAGTACACATCTCAAAATCGCAAGAGAAATCAATAAACAACCCATCATCGTCCAAGGAAATTGGCTGCACAGATACAGCAAATCAAGAAGCTGCCAACACCCAATCAACAAACGATCAGCCAAAGCATCGCCGAACCGCACCTCCCACCAACGCAAGCAACAACAAAACCTCTATGGACCAAAAGTTAAGAGGAAAAACTAGGTTAGCAACTGGATTCTGTAAACTTTCCCTACTGGATTCTGTAGAGGTGGTTTTGAGTACCTCTTTCTTGCTTCCCTATTAATCACTTGAAAATGTTTGATTTGTCCCCAATTCTTAAACACTTGAATTATCCAGGCTAGCATTTTTTTGTTCGACCAACAATCTTTTGAGTTAACTGTAGTACTTATTTCATTTGACATCTATTGTAGAGGATGATGTGAAAGAGCAGTGTTGGGATCAAAGAAAAGCTTTGGCAAGGGAACCTCGATGTGTTAAATGTGGACGTTATCGTCAATTTGGGTTTTGAATCCACATCATTTAAAAAAAAAAAAAAAGTCTCCAAAATCTTTAAATGTCTCCTGTGGAAGTCTCCAAAAGTCCATTGAAAACGTTTATTAAAATCTCACCAAATTCATCGAAATCACTTGAAAGTTCACAAAGTCTCCAAAAGTCATCCATTTTAAAAAGTCTCTGAAAGTCTCAATTGAATACACTCCACTAAGGATAATTTCATCTTTTTAGGCTTGGAAGGCTATTGTGGTGAATGTCAAATTTTTTTGGATAATATGGAAAAGTGGTTGTTTGACAATGGCATTCTTAAAAGTACCCCAAGGACGCCTTATCCTTATCCTTACTCCTATAAAAGAGGGGGAATTATGCCTGTGGTGGTTTGATATAGCTCCAGCTGTAAGAGAAAGCATCCATTTTGTCACCCATTTCTTCTTCTTCGGCACCCGCCTCTGTTCATTAGTCAATAAATAAAAAACACAGAAAATCAGATCTATTTAAAACCCAATTTCAGTTCTCTCTCTCTCTATCTCTCTCTCTCTCTCTCGAAGCCATAGAAATTTGGCGTCGCTCTCTTCCGCCCCACCGTCATCGCTTGCCACCCCCATCTACCGTGCCTCTTAGCTCGGCTCGAAACTTGCGGCGGTGGATATGGTAATTATGGAGGTGGAGGAGGCTACAGTGGTAATAGAGGCGACGGAAGAGGAGGAGGTGGAGGTGGGGGATACAGAGGTAATACAAGTACTTGATAGTCTTCTTTTTCGTTTTTATTATGTACTTTGGTTATTTATTTTGATATATGGATTTCAATTTTTGGTTTTGGCCTTGTATAATTATATTTTTGTGATTAATTGCTTTTAATCCAAGATCTGTTGCTATGATTTTAGGAGGTGGTGGTGGATACCAAGGAGATCGAGGGGGACGCGGCAGCGGAGGCAGAGGTGGTGGAAGTGGCAGGGAAGGCGATTGGCGATGCCCTAATCCAGGGTAACGTACTTCCCATAGAACACAAATATAACTACGAACCTCAAGTATAAGGAAAAAATCTAATAGTCAAACTCTTTGTTTATCATGTTCGTATGATTTATTCTCTAGCGTTTTCCTTGGAATTAAACATGAGAGAAGCTGAAATACAGTACCCAGTTTGAGTCTACATAGGAGTTTATATATCTTTTACTTTTGTTTCCTATGTTTAAATTTAAACATATTCAGGAAAACACAAATTTTGTATATTGTGTGGTTTGTATGGATGTAAATTAGTGGCCTGCAGACCCATATGAAATTTTGTGATGGGCTATCAATTTCGGAGGTAAATTTTGTGGAATTTCTTGGATTCTCTGTAATCAAGCTTCTTTCTGGAGAGAAAAATGTTGTAGCTTCTGGTGGTGGAGTCTTAAAGGTTCGATCTTTAGATTAGTTTGCAAATGACAATTTTCCCAGCAAATGACACAGTTAGCATTAAAAGATCCCCAAATTTCAGGAAAAAAATTACAACTTGCTAGGAAAACTCATAAAAGTAAAAAAAAAAAAAACATATATGATAAAGTGATTTACTTACGGAGGCTCTCTGAATGAATCGTTTAATTTTTGTTTCTGCTGAGCATCTCTCTGTAAAAACCCAGGAAAAAAAGATTGAATTGAAACGAAAATCATATATATGCATAACAGAATTGGAGAAAGAGTGAAAACTATAGATAAACTATAGTGGAAACCTGATTTTCCTTCCATTTCAAAATAGGCATTGCATTGTATTAGGCAAATAGCCCAAGAGACAAATGGTAAGGTATATGGTCTTGGTAGGCAACCAGCTGTTCTACGTACTATTAGCCAGAGACTAATCAGGTAGCTGCCTATATATTTCGGTTATGCATTGAGATATGTTATTATAATTTATACTATACTGTGCATGTGGTTATGATAGTCATTATCTAATATGTTCTCTTGTTCAGAGAGTTTAATGACACTATTAATGGATTCAATGATGATGGCTGGTCGATATTGAACTGTGACGATGCTCAACATATTGCAGTTGCTGTTAATTCATCCAAGAACTTGAGCACTAATACAAATACAGTTTGGTTGGACGTATTCTCCGGGTGAAGGCTTCTATACTACTCCATGTGATTCTTGATTATATTTCCTAATTTAATACTGAGCCTTTTGACTTGGTACTCTATTCATTTGTCCAAAAGCTTTATCAATGTAAAATGTTTCTTCTTGTTTCTGACTAACATCTAATTTAACTATCCAATTCCAAGTGTAAAAACTGACTGACTAGCACCTGGTGGGGTATCACGTTTATTAAACTTCAAGTGTGGTTCTAATCCATGTTTAAAACGTCCAGTTTGGAAAGTGTTGTAGAATGCTCAATTAAGCCCTTGTAAATTGAACGGTAAGTCTTCAGAAATGGTACCGAAAGTGTTAAGTCTATGTTTAAAGTAAAATGTGAGGAAGCTCTCAAGTTATAAGCCTCGGGTTTCTTTTACCTTCATTTACTATGTTCAATAGGGGAGCTCCTGTTCTATTTTTCTTAGGTCCACTCAGTCACATTCTATTATTGTGCAGAAGATTAGAGTTCCTTTCTATGTTTTGAAATGGAGGTGCCTCTTCTATTACACCTTCAAGTAAGTTTTCTTATTTACATTCTGCTATTCTATTTGTACCAATATGGTAGAAGGGCACGTTCAATCCTTGTTTGTCTATTAGTTTTCACTTTGGTTTTTGCTTAGTCCAGCTTCATCTAGCTGAAAAACTTCAGTTTTTTGCTACATTTTTGCTTATGTGTGGCTTTGTTTGTTACTTTCTTCACTTTTATTTAACTTAAATTTTGCTTCTCTTGTATGATATGTGGAACTTTTGTTGGGTTATTCTTTATTTAGCTCAATTTACTCCAGAAGCTTTAGTTCTTGCTTCATATGTGTTATTTTGCTCCATCTCTGTCTTTGATGCTCTTACGAGTAATACAACAATTTTTGTTTTTTTAGCTCATGAGTTGGGATTCCTTATATTTCTATCGGCGTTTTTTGTTTTGGCGTTCAACATTTTACTTCCATCCAGCTAACTAGCTTCATTTTTTATTGAATTTTTTGTCTGTTGTACCTTTCTTTTTTT